AAAGGTGACATGAAATGCCATCCATCTACAGAGATATCTCCTTACAGTTTTACAGGCTAATACAGTCTACAGTATTTCTCTGTTACAATCGGGATATCACAATAATTAACCCCGAAAAAAGTAGCGCAATCACTACCAGATTGCTGTTGTGTTTGCGATAAGGAAAAATGCTAAACACATGCAGGCATTTCTTCTTTCTTTCTGCCAACACAACACACATTCCTGATGAGTGAGTCCCATCTCACACTCAATACACTACAATTATATGGTATGAATACAGCACTACTACATAGAAAAGAGAGAGAGATCAATTTAGAATGTCACTTACCAGTGTATAATAATGATTTGGTCAGCTGTAGTTAGAAATTACGCTGTTCTTAATCTTCGACAGGCTTATTATGAGGTCCTATTGCCATCTTGTGAATAGACAACTTCAACAGTCTTTGCTCAAAGGGGGCTGGAAGGGGGGGGGGGGGGTTGCCTTAATTCAGAATGCCTTACCGTACGTTCACACCGAAAGCGGCGAGAGCGTCCAAGGTCGCTCTTGCCGCCCTGGCGACAACGCTCTCTGCCTTCAGCTCCTGCGGCGAGAGCGTCAAAACTCGCTACATTGATCTCATATTTAAAGGAGCCATTGCAGCATATCAGTTACATTCCTGCATAAAACATGTTTCTAGCGTGAAAATGTTGCGCACTTCTTATCAAATTCATACAACAATAGAAGATAAAGTTGCGTGTGGTGTGGCTTTGCTCTTTTTATCCAATATGTGTCCATACGTCTGAAATATCCTGAAGCAGCAGTACTGTTTTGTACTGTCACATCGCGTGAGATTCCCGCTTTTTTAAGATAAATTTATATAACATTAATGAACATCAGTAACTCGCCAGTAACTTATTCAATGTATGTTCCTGTAGGAAAAAATTGTAAATAATTGGAAATCCGGCGACCGCAATAATCAAACCCTTGGGAACAACTGTGGTCGGAACCAAAGTTCACAGGTCTGTGTTCTCTGAACTGCTATCAAGTCTTCATTCTGATTGCTTGCCGCCGAACCGCGTCATAGCTCATTACCATAAAGTTGACTTCATTTCAACTCTCCTCGATGCTCACGCCGTCGAAGACGCGTCGCGCTGCTCATCGCCGCTTATCGCCGCGTATCGCCGCCGGCTCTCATTGAAAATGAATGACTTCCGGCTACTTTGACGCTCTCGCCACTTTCGGTGTGAACGTACGGTTATGGTGGACTAAATCAACTACTTCTTCAGAAAAGGGTCACAGCCCCATCTGTTGGTCGAAATAATAATTACATGCTCAGGTAACAATTAGACTTATTGGGACAATCATAGACATGACACAATCTGAATGAGTTGTTTTGTAAGAGACAAAAATGTATACATTATCACCACCTAGGTGACAATATGTAAAATTGTAAAGGATTTGCAATTACAGCCTACCAATCTAAACTAACTTAGCTAAAACTAAGATAAATCATGCCTCAGAATGGTATAAAGTAGATTATTGATTATTTTCTGAACTTGTTTAACTGGCATCATTAAATGATTTAGGTAGAAACATAATGCAGTGTCCTCATTTGAAATGGATTCTTATTGAAAGCAAATCTAATAGAAAAAAGCATAAATAGGCTTTGTTTATTGTTCAGCATCCCAGAATCCTTTCAAAGATAGGATGACAGTGTTTATTCATGGGCTACCTCTATTACAGAGGAAATAATGAATATAATATAATATAATATAATATAATATAATATAATATAATATAATATAATATAATATAATATAATATAATAATCTTAATGATTGTTTATATTCAACTGTTTAGCCAGCTTGGACTGAAAAGGAAAAGTATTTTAACAAATGTTTATAATGTAATTATTTAGTAAGGGTTTCAAAATGAAAGTTGTAGGGTCCAGCCAGTTGGTCCAATGACGGTGTTTACTAGTGGATAAAGGTTCACTGCATGTTCGGTCTTTCCAGTGCACAATGTTGATTCACTTTAAACGTAACTCATTTCTGACTCCAATTTAAGTATGGGGTGGTTTAGAATATTAATATTTATTCTCGTTTTATCTGACATTAATAAAGTTATTTTGTTTTCTTTAATATTATTTGATTATGATTGAATATTCTCTTCGATTTGTTATTACATATTATTCTCATTTATTTAGATTCCTATAGCATCCTGAGTCTTGTACTGGCCGAGTATATAATCTCTTAAACACAAGCTTGTCAGTCTTGGTCATTAAACAGAGGCGATTAACCACTCTCCTAAAAAGGCAGAACCCTACTTACTCAATTTAGGATATTTTATGTGGTCCCCATAGATCTGCTATCTACTGAATCAAGACAAACTATTTTAGTCATATCATAATCATTACTATAGAATTAAGAAACTATTGGTAACTTTGAATAATCACCATATATAGTATAAGTTTGTAGATGAAGGCCTAACTTACCCACATTTAGATTGGTCTCAACAATATTTTGTTGTTCTAAATAGAAAACCTATTATTGCCCTTTTATAGTCTAAGTATACTTGAATTAATGCCAATGTGTTAGTCGGATCTCTAAGAACATCGTGTAGCGGTCCACGCTGCTCCGTCTAACATGTCTTAGTCTGTTACTAACCTGTACAGAGGCTTGTGGTGCTATGGACTTAATCTACTAGAGATAATAGCACGAACTATGTTTTAAAAATTTAAAACATAACAATTTATTAGTCAGATAAATATGTATTATGCCAATTCATTCAGTCAGTTCATAAACTATTAATATCTGACATCAATTTATCAAAGACAAATCCAAGATAAAAAGATGCATAACTGACTTCAAAATATACATAACAGGGAGCGTAAGCTCCATGCTATGGGCTAATCTGGGTAAGCAGAATCGCCCTGAACATTTTTCAAACCTCCCTTAAGTAATCCAAGAATCCCCTCAAGGAATGGGGTGTGTGAATAACAAAGGGCATTTGCATTTAGTGCTGCCTATAGGAAAGGCACACCCTTCACAGTGGTTCAAAAGATACCTGAAGTTATATATTTATTGTTTTGATTATGTCTATTTCTGAGGGAATGAGACCATTGTACCAGTCGTACTAAGACATTTTAAATGATATCAAACATGATAGATAAAATCACTTGGGTTAATTTAGAACATTCAGACTTTGAAAGGACCATACTGTGTGAGTTGGGGTGGTTGAAGTCGAGTTTAAGGGGATTCAAATGTAAATGTAGAGGGAGCTGGTTCTTTCCTGCATTCCCACCTGCTAGAGCCGATTGTCTTTGTTTTCGGTTCATGTTTGAATTGTCAAAGACATCAGAATATTTGTTATATCTCAAGTGTTCCCTTGATCTCAAATTTCACTCTATTCACTAGCCTGTATTTTGCATATTAATGAATTCATAATTAATTTTTTATCAATAGCCAAAATCAGAACCCAGGAGGTATACATAACCCATATGATATTTTTGTTCATTTAATAATTATTTTTCTTACATTTATTATTTATTTATTTGTCAGTGATTGCATTTGTAATCTTAATTGGCATTCTTGGCACTTTAAAAACAATCACCTCTATAGATTCTAGATCATTCTTATACACACAAAATGTGACAAAATGAAATAAAAATGACATTTTTCAAAGAAGCTT